AATTCACTACACAAAAGAGCATAAGAGCATGAGAGTCAGAAAAAAAAGATGCTATGATCAAGGAATCACTGGAGACCAAAGGGATCAAAACTAACAATGAAGGGCTAAACTTACTAGAACAGTGTTTCTCAACCCATGGATTGTGACCCCCACAGTGTCACATATCAGATACCCTGCATATTAGATATTTACATTGTGATTCATAACAGTAACAAAATTACAGTTAAAAAGTATCAATATGGTGGTGGTGGGATCACCAAAACATAAGGAACTGTATTAGTGGGTTGCAGCATTAAGAATGTGAAAAACCACTGTACTAGAAGGATTGAGAGTTTAAGCCAATACACATCTAACAATATCGCTTGCAGATATATAAAGCAGAGTTGGCAGAACCATAAGAAAAAGAAATCTTTAAACTATGTTTTTAATTTATCTGTGATCACTTCAGAAAACTCTATCTTAAGCACTGAATGATGAGTCTCATAACTGCAAAAGCCCCAATTTAAAAAAGCAAATTAGAACTAATAAAATGGCCCAAATACTCCATGAACAAGTGATGCTTTCTCAAGAATACAATGGTAAATTAGCCCCCAAATATTTCTCTGAACAATTTTATTCATTCATTAATGTAAAAGAGTCACATGCTTATAATAATTATCAAAGGAGGAACATAAACAAGGGTTCGTATAATTGCTACATGACATCATACGTCTAAAAGCAAATGTTTAGCTGCGCTTTTGTTGAAAGTCAGGAGAAGGGAAGAAGCCTTTTCTATCTGCTCACATTCATTCACCATGTATTGGAAACACTAGTACAAGTAATAGATTGTGAAAGAGAAATAAGAAGTGTAAGTATTGGAAAGAAGAGATAAAGTTGTTTTTTGAGGGTATACTTGTGAAAATTAGAAGACCCAAGAAAACCTACAAATTCTAAGAACTGATAGAGTTCACTAAAGTTGCAACATAAAAGATAAATATTAAAAAAGTACACATTTACATCCAGGAATAACTGCTTAGGATAGGATTTTTTTTTCATAAGGTGCCAATGACAATAGCAACAAAACTTAGCAGTGGCATAGAAATAAGTTTTATATAACCAGCACAAATGCTCAAGGCTAATGCAAGCAAAGCAAGGGATCACACAAGCAAGGGACAATGTCTAAATTTTCAACTTCTCGTGGAATTAATACACAACTTTAATACATAACAGTCTAGTTCCCAGCACAAGAGTTTAGGAGATATCTCAAAATTTTGATGGTAACTGACTGAACAGAATGCTTTGTGGAAGGGGTATATTGATGTGGGAATTGATTTGCTGGATAGTCAGATTTTGTCCGAGACATAGGAATAATACTAGAGCACCAGGGTAGGAGTAGACAGAAACACACATCAAGATTTGTTAAATGCATGACATGGCAAAAGAAATATATAACACAAGCAGGTAACGAATGAGTTATTCATATATGAGATGGATTTACCAGGGAAAAGAACATTAAAATAATAGCAATATTTCATTTTGTACTTATCAAATTGCCAAAAAAGAAAACATATGAAATATGATTTAGTTGTTGCTTTTTTTTAACTCTTTGGGGCCTGCCACCTAATAAGTACATGGAGACTTATTCTTACTTACAAATGCCCAGCCTTAGGTTGGCTTGTTTCTAGCTAGCTTTTCTAATTTATATTATCCTGTTTCTCTTTAACTACATTTTGCCTCTGGGAATTTAACCTTTCTTTATTCTATATATCTTTCTTTCATTCTTACTCTGTGGCTGGTTGTGTGGTTGTGTGGCTGGCCCCTAGAGTCCTCCTCTACTCTTTCATTTTTTTTGCTCCTCACTTTTCTTTCATGTCTAGATTTCTCCTCCTACTTATTCTCTCTTCTGGCAGCCCCATCTATCCCTCTTTTGGCTAGCTATTGGTTGTTCAACTCTTTATTAGACCAATCAGGTGTTTTAAGCAGGCAAAATAATACAACTTTACAGAGTTAAACAAATGCAATATAAAAGAATACAACACATCTTTGCAACATTAAACAAATATTCCACAGCATAAACAAATGTAACACATCTTAAGCTAATATTCCACAACAATACCAGGTGATTATAAAAATGGGGAAGATTGGAGTCTCACACATGGATGGGACAGGTATATTTGTGCAATTGCTTTGGAGCTAGCAATTTGTTAGTATCTAGGGAATTCAAATGTATACTTCTTATATTACCCTCAACATTTTTATCATGGAGAAACCCTGAAAACTCTTTACAATTGCATTCAGCAGATAGAACCAATAAGTGGAAGCTACTTGCAACCTAAAAATCCCAATGATAAACAAAAAATCCAAAGTACATATTAATATCTGTCTATAACCACCTCAGAAAATTTTATCTCAAGTGGCAAGGAGATGAATCTTACAGATGTAAAAATACATAAAATTTGGATGATTGCACATATCACTTACTGAAATGTGTAGACGAGGTAAATGTAGTTTTTAAAACATAAGGAGGGCCGGGCGGTGGTGGCGCACGCCTTTAATCCCAGCACTCGGGAGGCAGAGGCAGGCAGATCTCTGTGAGTTCGAGGCTGGGCTGGACCGATAGCCTCCAAAACAATACAGAGAAACCCTGTCTCGAAAAAACAAAAAACAAAAAACAAAAAACAAAAAAAACAAACAAAAACCAAAAAAAAAACATAAGGAGAATATAAAACAAATGCAAGATTGTGGGTAAAACTGAATGGAGGAGTAAAGAATTTAGTTTTGAAGAATATGTATGATAGCATCTGTGATGTTTCCTTGATTAAAAAACGATATGCAACATGTAAGGAGAAATATTGATATTGAGGGAATTTGATGTTCATAAATAGGTGTTTGTTATATTTTTCTATGTAATTTCCAGGCATTTATGAAATACTTTATTCAATAAAAATATGGTTTAATTATTAATGAGATTTTAAATGAAGAGGTAGGGTAATTCTAGGTTGGAAGGAGCTAACATAAGAAAATGTCAACTCTGTCACTACGATTTTATAGTTTCACAATCTGATTGCATCTCACATTTGGAAATTCTCCTAATGATTGTTCTTGGTTGTTCCCAGGAGAAGATCCAAGGAACTTCTGGGTGCTTCCAGTCGTGTTTGCATTTTCAAGATTGAATTTGGCAAATGAATAAAGACAAGGAACATGAGGGCAGTGGGAAGAGACGTAGAAACTTAGTCTATTTGGAAGTATGACTCAGATGCGATTTAGAATTAGAAGAAAAATAAGAGAAGGTGTTGAAAGGCGAGTAAAAAATTTTGTCTGTGGAAAAACATGCCATAGATGAGTGGCCTCAAATAAAATGTTTTAGTATGTGCTTCAATATTTTAGTTCCAGAATGCCATTTTCCTCTTTCTTAAAAATAAACCAAAACCAAATCAAACCAAACCAAAAATGAGTTCCAATAAAGACTGTTAAAGAAAGATCTTGCTTCAAGTTCCATTTTTCATTTAATATGTGGTATAAGTACATACCAGCAAACAACTTATTAAAATGAATTTAAACTAAACACTGTTACCATTGCAAAAACATTGATGCTGAAAAAAGACCGGAAAATGTATCATGACCTCACGTAATTCAGCACATTACTAGTATTGCTCATGTAAAATAAACCTACTGGAAATATCATTTAAGGTTACCTTCTAAGTTTCAAGAAGCAAACACCATTCTAAACATGCACTGGCGGTATTTAGAGCCTTTTCTTAACACACATATAAAATTCCTATTAGTTTTCTTCCACCCCTCAATAACTAACATCCAACTGGTGTTTTGGCGATCTTCTATACTTAAAAGTATTTTATAAAACTCAGAGCTTTAAGTCAGTTTGTAAAGAGCACACTTTAATATGAATCTACCTGTTACAAAAAGAGAAGAAAGTTTAATGTTCCCAGGGATGGCTGGAGTTGTGCACTATGGTGTGGGAGGAGTGTAACATAAAGGAATCATAATTTTAGAAGTTAAGAATTCTGGATTTCACAATATCAGAAATTGGTTGGATTTCACCTGCACATTTTAGGGAAGATATAAAACCCGCCAGGAGATTTTCTTTCCAAATTCTGTAATGCCTTGGGCGGGGGGAATTGTTTAATGACATTATTTCTTATCTTCTGCACACCAAGAAGGAAGTTGCATCTTCCAGCTTTTAAATAGCAAGATGGGGACTTAGACTGTATAGTTGGAGGAGGATTATATGGATTCAGGTTCTAGACCTGATTCTGGCAAGATGTGGCAATGTGAGTTCCTGATTTCTCTCAGAAAAGCACAGACAATACATTCAGAAAACATGTTACCTCAGGCAAATTAGAAAATACACACGAGCCTTAGAATTAAAGGCAGATAGTTCCGATAGAAGCACAGAAAAGTTAGTGCTGCTTTGCTCAAAGCCCAGCTTTAGAGTCTGGTAGTCAACATGAGAAAGAGTGTCTGTTGTCTAATTAAGACACAACATTAGAGGATTAACAGAGGCAGAACAGAGGTTTTAAATAATCCTAAGCATACCTTGCACACTTCTGTAACATAGAACGAGTGATGGGTAATTCTAGATCAGAATCTTTGAAAGGTAAAGATTATCCACTCATGCTTAGTCTGATGGAATTTGTCAGAAAATAGTGTTAATAATAGTGATGAATCACACTGTTCAAAGTGATTCCATTTACCTTTTGACGGGCTGGTTCTTCCTTTATTTTAATAAGCTCCCCATATTTGATCTCTGTAAACTCAATTTTCATCTTACTTTGTTTCTATCAACTTCCCATATGACACAAATGAGATAAAGGAGGGGGATTTTTGCCTTATCGTTGGTGAGCACAAGTGGTAAAATTTCTCTCATTCAATTTTATGAGCATTTTTGACTATAGATCATTAAATGCTTTAAAAAGTCTTCAGTAAAATCTCTTTAGCCATATGCATGATATTCTGCTCATCCCCTCCCCCTCTTTTCAAATAAAAAATAGAAGAAGGACAAGCAAGAGAAACAAACATTTATTGAGACAGGCACTGAACTGGGTATTTTCATTAGTGACACACATAGAAATATAATGACCATATTATTCTGGGATCTCTAAGAGTCTGTTTGGCAAGCATTATTTCTTGCATGCAGTAAAAATAATGTGAGAGAAATTAGCATAATTTTCACATTATTGACAAAGATTTAATTGTCCATGTTGTCCCTACAAAGTGGAAAGAGACAAATGGATGAATCTGTGAAAATCTGCAACCACAACATGCAATAACCCAAGATTCACAGGATGAAAAATGTAAGAGGACAAATCATATGAGTTTACCATTGTATAATCCTTTAATACTAGAAGAAATAAAAGTAGACATCACAATAGTGAAACGCAGAAATGAATTGTTAAAACCAAAACAAGATTATTTCTGATAAATGGCTGACTCTTTCCATGCCATAATATATTTGATGGGTAAAATCAAATTAAGAGGGTGTTTATTTTGTCGTGGGAGTTTGGGAAGTCAAATTACAAATTCATGATAATAGATTTTCTAGCAGCAAAAAGTCTTCAAGAAAATCACTTAATCAGCATCCATGTACTTCTGTTCATTTGCATTTGAAACAAAAAACAGAACTAGGGGAGGCAAGAGAAAGAAACACTGTGAGCCAGGCACTGAGTTGGACATTTTACGTATAATGACACAGGTTATAATGGCTTTGGCCAACCACCTTGAGGTGACTCACTGATAGGGAAAATACGTGCACTCTATGATTCTTTTTTAGAAAAATTCTGATGACTTACTCTGTAGTCTTTCTGTACTTTACTCATCAGCCAATGTCTACAAAATATCAAAATGTAAAAACTGTTATTCATAAAAGCTAGCATAAATCTGAAAAGTAGCCATTTAGAAGGTATATTATCAGGTTAAAAATGACAATGTTAGTAATCACCCCTAATTTCCCACTTAAGGTTGAATTTACTTGGCATTTTATAAGGGAAAGAGTGAGAGAGAGGTAGTGGCAGCTTTGGAAATAGGGAACCTTATGCTACAGCGGACTCTGTGCTTCAATATGGCTTTACACTGGACATGATCACTCAACGGGCTGTGTCTGGATTGCTTTGGTTTATACAAGAGACCCTTACATTGTTTGCGAGATCAAAAAAATTAGTGATACAGCACAAAAGCAAGTCTCAAGGTGCAAAGAACACTCAGGGATCACATGAAGCAAAGCCAAAGGGCCGACATTTCAATAATCAGTGGATTGTACTTTAAACACATTAAAACAACTGGGCAGGTATACAATGACAAACAATATCACTTGTTGACAAAGATTAAGAAAAAAATCAGTACATTCACAGTTTCAACAGAAATATATGATTACATATATGATTATATATTTTAATTTTAATTACAGACATAGGCATAACTATATTGAAATTAGATATGTTAGATCACAAGTCATTAAATAATGATTTTCATTTGTATTACATGATAAATTTACAACATGAGGATTATATATTTCAATACGGCATATACTGGTTTTGAACAACAAAAAGCAATATAGTGTAAAGTAAACAGGTACTTTAGAGTTAGGAGTATCACATGAGAAATATATCAAACATTTCATCAACACCAGTCCAAACATAAAATGTGGCATCTTTTATTTCTAACTATAAGCAGCTTTGAAGGAAGGTCATTGGGATGTGGAAGGGAGGTAGTTTTAAAAATTCAAAACATTTTCTCAGGAATTTTATAGAACAAATGATTTTCAGCGGTATTTTTCCCATATAGTTTTTTTTTCATTTTAGATAATAAGATAAAAAGATTGCCTCTCCAATTTGCAAAATGTATACAGACAAAGCCTGTATTTTGAAGTTTATTGAGGGGGCCATAATTTGACCATAATAACTATTAAAGTTTGATTGATAGAACTGCCTCAACCACAAAAGGCTTCTAGAATTTTTTATCCTCTTTTTAAATGGTAGTACGTAAATATTAATTAATACACCAACATGATCTGTGAGCCCCTTTACTCATTGGCTAGACCATATAGAAGGATGCATTTCTGCTCTATGTGTGTCAATGCTTTTGAACTTGAAATAAAAGGATCAGGGTGAAAAGAACAGCTGTTAGTTCATAGTCTTATGAGTTATGTATGCCTCTCAGCAATTAATTCATAATTACATGTAGATTTACCATTTTCAGTTAGATTTGAGTTAATGGATACTCTCCATTTCATGAGGTTCTCATAGGTCCCATTCTTTGGAACATCCCATTTTCTACCCTTTCCCTCCACTGGAAACTGATAACATGAAGAGCTCAAACTCAAAGTTACCTTCTTGGAAAATAAAAGGCTGAGGAGAAAATTCCCCTGTGATTCATGGGTGATGTCTACTAATCATAGGAAAAGACTGTAATTATAAGTAGATTTTCTTGTTAAATCACAAGCTCTGAAGCAAACAATCTTTATTTTGGAGTTTCTCTTTAAGATAGTCAATACATACTCATCAAGATAACTTAGATTTATTAGACAATGAGTTACCAGCTTGATTCTATCAGCAAGTACATATCTAAATGGAGTATTACATGGAGTATTACTTATGACCTCAACTTGAGGTTGTCTGTGTGGAGATTTAACAATTGGTCCATCTTATACACAGCCAAAATAATTGCTTATGGGTAATTTTGTTCCTGTAGACCCCAAGTTTACTAGTCTACACAATTAATCTTTAGGGAGAATAAATGGTCCTGGAAAGAGGGGCTGTAAAAACTTTAAGTAAGCAGAACTGGAAGGAAGCAGATTCATGAGGGTTTTGGTCTACCTAATTTAGAGAAATGGATCTCAGTTTTCTGTTAAGCATTTCTACACACTGTCTCAGGAATTCATTGCCTAAGTCAAGGGCATGTGGGCAGTAACATCTGGGCTTTGCACTTGCAGTCTTAGACTTTATTTAACTCATGAGAATGAATTCAAAGACAGACCTAGAAGAAATATTAGAAACAACATTTTTAAGGACATCAACCTACTTATTTAAAGAGAGGAAACCAGTGGCCAGAATTAAAATAGATGATCAGGGTCACACAGCCTATTTAGTAGAAGTGATGTGATCTAGAACTGGACATGGAGGGCTCCATGACTCTCCTGGCAGCATTGATATCGTGTTTGAGCCAAAAAGTCAGAAAAGAAACCTTGTTCAATGAAATACACATGAGGCTTTCATCCATGTGAAGCTGGGGGATAGAAATTCAAGGTCATTACTACTGTTCCATCCATGTGCAGAGCTTCAAAGTGTACATACTGTCCTCTTTGACGCCTGGCATGTAATTCAATGCCACTCAAGAATGCATCAACATTTTGTTTCAGAATGGAAAGTCTTGAGTCATAGGCTTGCAGGTTTATCTCCAATCACACTCAGAGTCAGGCAAAGTGGTTGACACTATTAATTTCAGTTCTGTGATGATACAATTAAATTATACACAAAAGTCCCTGCATAGTTTGCTGGTTAGTCTTTAGATCATTTTGCAATCCCCTTTCTGGCTTCTCTTTTTTTTCCATCTCTCCATTTATTTAAAAGAAATCCATTCAAGGTAAAATTTACTTTCCAATCAATGCACTTTTCTTCCAAAGTGAAACCTTTTAAAAAGAAAAAGTAAAGAAGGCACTTTGTAAAACATACATGGATCTGTTTCTTTCTTGTCTATGCTAGATTGAAGCTGCTAAGGGCAGGCCAAGTCTTTTGGCAAATGATGGACAGCAGAGGTAAGCTGAATAAAAAAAAGAAAGAAAAAAGAGAGCTTGGTCTCCATCCAGACAAACTTTCCCATGGAGCTCATGTCCTTTGGTTACTCATTAACTGAGGATTCACCGGTTCTCTTGGATCATGTCAAGCAAAGAGTCTCCCGGCTTTGACTTTACACATACAACAAGAACTTGGCTGCTTCCAACTTAACTAGTTCACAGTGGTCATTAACCTATAACTGATTAGCAGAATGGGCCTCAGGCACTTAGGAGAATCTGTCATCTGTCAAAATTCAGTGGCACAGCTGATAGTAATTTGTGCTCATATTAAAGTTCCTTCTATGCACTTGTTAAAGCCTATCAGAGAACATTTTGCCATTTACATCCTAAAGTTCCATCAATCATCTGCTGGATCTATCAAGTTTCCATGTACTTCATCACTTGAATTCTTAGAGAGACGCTTATGAAACTATAAATTTTGTGATTCAGAGCAAAAGCATCTTTCATCCACATGTGATGGTTATTCATCACAACCAAATATCAGAACAAAGATTTGAGTTGTTGGCTCCATGTAGGAAGGAGCATGGCTTGATGCATAAAAGATAATTTTTCTAAAGACTAATATCTCATTTCCTGTGTCTTTCTTAGCTCTACCTCTTATTTCCACAAACATATTTGCACATGGTCTTATTTATGACTTATACTGTATCTATATAATGTGAAATACATGTGTAATATATGAAGACAAACAGGGTGCTGAGACTTTTAAGAGTGGAGCAGGGATGAGCATTTCTCTGTCTGACAACTTAACTAAGATGCCAGGGATTGGTTCAAATTACTCAGTGAGCCACAGAATCAAGGGGATTGAATTTCAAAAGGCCTTACAGATTATCTGTCCAACATAGTCAGAGAAAACTGAAATCCAGAAGAAGTAACTGGCCTTTCCAAGGCAAAACAGAACTAGAATCCAGGTGTCTTGACTCTTCATATTCATTCTTTAACTCAAGCAGCTATCTTTCAACAGAAAATATTTGACCATAAAATTCTAATAAATGAGTAGAACTATAGATTAGATTTTATTTCATAAACATTAACTAATTTTTGGGGGGCGTAACTTGTCTTTACAGCTATATTTTTCATTTATGCAAAATCATATATCAGAAGCAGATTTTTAAATTTCAAACTATGAGTAACATATGTGCTATCAATTCTATTGTGGTCATAATTAGTAAATAAACACATATATTTAACTTCTGGAGAGGAATAGAATATGTTGGGAAAGGTTTAGTTTATACTGGTTTTGAAGTTTATTTTCTTTGTCAGTAGTCTTCAAGGTGAACTAGATTTTTTTGGCCCTCTTGGAAGTTGTGTATTTTGCATGCTATTCTCTCATGTGACTTCATATAATTTCCATCATTATGTGAATCTTAAGTCACTAGTAATTTTGGTTTTTCTTTTTCTTTACATATAGTGCTGTTCATTTCAAGTTAAATAGGCTTGCTCCACACTTTCCAAGAGAGGCAAAAATAACCTTTCATGGAAATGGTCGTAGACAACAATGTTTCTTCAGCTTGAGTGAGCAGGTGAGCTAGCTGGGCATTTTGTAAAAAGGCAGACTCCAATTCTGTATGTCCTCTGCAAGGTTTGAGATGCTGCAAACAAAATTTCCAAGTAGCGCCAACTCGATGCCAATGCAGTTGGTCCTCAGACATTCAGTATGGAGGATCCAGGGCACTGAATGAGCCTGGACAAGTTTCTCAAATGCTTCTATTGTTCACAAGATGTTTGTGTATTGGGAAAATATGCTCAAAGTGTTTGAACTTGCACCTCTGAAAGTATTAGCTACATGTTTCCTTTCAGTCATCAAGGAGTCTCTGAGTCCAGTTACTTGTTGGGTGAAAAATTTGTGCTTGTTGGGTGAAAAATTTGAATCACAAGAGGTGAGATCAGAGTCTCTACATCAGGTTAGAGGATGGATAGAGAATTAATTTGCCAGTAGGTGAGATGTAAGGCAGAGAGAGACAGAGTGCAGTAGATGCATCATGGATAATCCTATTAAAATGGAGCTACAAGGCTTTGAGCCTCCTCTGGAGGTCTGCCCTTGGAGCTGTCTTGCAGATTCTCCCATCCCCTGACCTTTGAGTCTTTGAAGCAGTTCTTGTCACGGGACAGCTGCTCACTTTCCTAGAACTTTTATCTGGACATTCTTGTGCGAGCACAACCTCTGCCAAGAGTTTGCAAATACATTTATTCCAAAAAGATACTGACTTTTGGTTTTGCTTAAAATTCTTTTCGTTCGGGATTGCTCGGAGAACATTAAATAAGCCAAAGTCAGGTCTCTGTCTTGAAAACTATGCTAGCAGTCACTAATCTCCATTTTCATGGTGGTTCATAAGATTCCCCCATAAGTGGATAAGCCCTAAGTTCACGGGAGAAATATTTTAGGTCTAGACAGTCCTCAAACCATAAGTCAGCAATGGCTGCTATTTAAAGTATCCTGGAGATAAAAAATAATCAGATAAAAGCTACTCTATTGTACTTAATTGAAGTTTTCATCCACTCCACACTCCTCAGGGGATAATGGGTTGACATTTCACTCTAACAGGGTCTGTATCTGCTATATGTACTTTGAATAATCATTATGACCTTGCAGCTAAAATGACTGTCACCGCTTGTAGACGTAAACAGCAGTACTGGGAAGTTAGAAAATAGTCTTTAATTTTCCTAAGCAATAGAAAAATAGTCTTCAAAAATACAGTGCTAAACTTACGGGTTTGTATTAAAGCAGAATTGTATATACAGTAAGGCAACACTTCTGTTAGCATTCTGCAGTGACTACTGTTTAGATTAAAGATAGTCTTTGGGAATTCATTTTTCCACTAAGAAAATACTAGGGGCTATAACAAATCATCCATCCTGCTGAAATTAAGCAAGGAAAACATTTGAAAAGGTTCACTATGTGAAATTCATTGGCCTTACTTTGTAAGAAAGTTTTATTCCCCCAAACTATACACTCTAGAGGCCTTAGAAACAAATAGTTTAGGTGGAATAACCCATGCTTAGCATACTCAGATTACTTTGAGAAAAAAAATGGGGGCATGATTTCATTTGCATACAAGCAAAGGGTCAGTAAGGTATAGAGACTATTGTAAACAATTTGGCTGGTGTCCTGGAATCTATTCCTTCAAAAAAGTGCTATGCTTCAACCATCCTAAGAAAATGAAAGAGGAGTGTAAAGGCTTAACAATCAGTTTTTTTCAACACATTTTTCATGGCATTTTCAACATATCAGTCACCTTCTTGTGCTAAGTCATTTTGACTGTTTCATACTTTCTGTCACATGCCAAAATTCTATTGCAGAGGCTATACCTGTTGGCACCATCCCTCAAGAATGGTAAACAATGTGTTTTTATTTCATTGAACACACACACACATATATATATATATATATATATATATATTTGCAAAGAGCAAATCACAGAAAACAAGATTGATTTGTTCTGGAGATCAGCTGTTGAAAAGAGGCAAGTGTTGGACACGAGCACGGAAAAGGAGTGAATAATTAACCCACATCCTGTAACATTTTCTAGCAGACCGCGTTATTCCATGACTCTGTAGTGTTACCTGAAGAAAAATCACATTTTAGCCAATCGTTCAGTAAGTCTAGCTATCAGTGAAAGGAGTGCGTGAAGCATGTAGGATCCAGGTAATCCAGCCTGCCCAGTTGGAGTCTGCAGTTGCTTGAGGTTGCAGCAAAGCTGGCTAGATCTTTCTCAGATTGGTTCTGTTCAAGCGATGGTGGAGCCTTCTTGGCTGATTCCCCAAACAAAGCTGTGTTCTGAGCTCGTGAATCTGGCACTAACACCAGGATGTTGTCATCCATAACCCCAGACACCTTGGCATACTCCTTACTGGTTTCGGGAACCCCGGGCTTCTCTGCCTGGTCGTTTTCTTTCTGTTTGGGGAACAATGATAATATTCCATCTTTGTTGACTTTGTGAATCTCCACATAATCTGGGGGTTTAGCATAGACAACGGGGAGGTTCTCCTGGAGCAGAGGCCACGATGTGTTTTGTTTAGTCTCAGAATGGAAGCTTTTCTTCTTCTCTTGCCCAGCTATCTTTTCCTCTTCAGTCTCAAGGGTTTTAGAACATTTTAGAACATTTCTTCCTGTTTTGTTCAGGAAAGAGGCGAGTGTATCTACAGGACCTCCTGCTAGCTTGCACACATCAGCGATGCTGTGATAAGGAGATCTGGTCATGTGCTGGCCAGGCAGTAAAGGCCATGTTGAAGATTTGGATACATCTGCATGAAAATAGGGGATGCTGCTTTGGGCATCCTGGGTGGGAGGAATATTTTCTTCCGGATTCTCTGGCTTCTCAATGATCTCAGGAATGTGGAAAGCAGGGGGGTAGACCTGAGGCTCCTCACACTTTTCAGACAAAAGAGAATGGCTGTCATAGCTTCCATGACCAGAGTCATTGTCTGGATCTAGGTGTGTGGGTTTCACACCTTGCCCTGGGTACTCTTTGGAATGGGAGGGCATTAGTTGTACGTCCTCATTGTCATCCACTTCTAAAAACTCCACCAGCAAGTCCTCAGAGTCAGAAGTGGGGGGGAAGTCTTGGCATCCTAAGGCAGTCAGGAGTTCTTCAGATTTGCCCTTCTATTGAAACACAGACACAAGGAGAGATGGCTGTTAGCCTCAGCACATGCCACACGTGGCATCACAGCTGAGTGGTATCTGAGCAGAGTAAAGGGGATTTGCTCCTGGGGCAGCAGCCATGCTGTATCTTGCTTAGTCTTGGAATGGAAGCTTTCCACCTCCTATTGCTCAGCAGAAGGCTCTGTGAGCAATCTCACAGTATCCTGCCCCTCCCCACTAGACTGCAGACATATGTGCGTCAGGTCATGAGTAAGTACCTTCTGAGTACTATCCACCAAATACTTTTCTTTATGTCTTCTAAAAGTTTTCTTTGTCTCTAATAGTCGTCATGAACTTAATGGGCAAGTACTATACTACTCAATGTATGATAAACATAACTGCAATAAAAATGTTTTTTGAAACATGTGAAGTTGTAGTGTTTGTGTGTGTACCTGACACTGGTACTCACTGGTAGAGTAGTTCTGAGACATGGTGGCTGGTCTCTTAGCCTCCTCCACCGCCTTCTGGAGTGTGGTGACAGTGAATTGGTTCTTGTCTCTGGCTTCTCCCACCACTCCTTTTCCTTCTCATGTTCCTCCTCTTACTATTTTCCTTTCCTCTCCTCTCCTCTCCTCTCCTTTCCTTTCCCTTTCCTTCTCTTTTCCTTTCCATTCCTTTCCTCTCCTTTCCTTCCCTTTTCCTTTCCTTTCCTCTCCTTTCTTCTCTTCTCCTCTCCTCCTCTGCTTCCCTTCCCTCCTTTCCCCTCTCCTCCCCTCCTTTCCCCTCTTCTCCTTTCCTTTCTCTTTGGATCCCATTTTTCTAGTCTTTATTTCTTTCTTTCATCTTCTTCCTCATCTCTCTTCCTCCTATTCCACATAGTTTCTTTCTACTCCTATTTCTCTCTTTCCTCTTCTAGTCTTATTTTTTTACTTCCCCTCTTCTCCCCAGTTCTCTGACTTAGGTCATGTGCCTAAGTCATGGCTTTTATCCCTTATTAGATAGATATGACTTTGGATAGGTGGCTTTTCTTTCTGGACCAGAGCTTGTCCAGTTTTATAATAGGAGTAATACCACTTATCTTCAAGGGTTCTTTGAAGATTAGAAATAATGTAAGAAAGAAGATTAAAAAGTATAACCCTAAAGCAGCCATTTATCATTAGGTCTCTGTGGCTAGCAGGTTGAGTTGTAAGATAGACACTAGGTAACCAACTTCCTGTTGGTTTTATAAAGGTTGATACTAGACCGAATAGTGGGTAAGACCCCTGGAGCAGAAGCCCAAACTCTAGTCCTTGCTGTAACAGCTACAATCAAAGTGATTTTGAAAGACAAGTCAAATTCATATTTTTATCTTCTTATAAACTTAAATTCATGGCAATCACACCAACAGTGTTACATCACGGTTAACCTAGAGAAAAATGCTTTAATTCTGTCTCAAATCAGTCTAGTGTGCTTTGGAAAACTCCAGCGCATAGAGTACTGATCCACTGACTGTTCAAATGGAGCATGGGGTCAATGGAAAATCCTCCCACAGTGGCTTAGGTAAAGGACATTCAAGTAGAAGCTTGGGCTCATGTGTAAGGGAAATGGTGGTAGTGAGTTAGAATATCTGCTTTCTTTCTAAACTCATTATTGCCTTCAAGATGGTCATCTCTGTCTTCAGGAGCAGTCATGGGCAATGTAACAGGCCTCACTGTGAGTTTGGGTGTTTCTGGTCTTTCTCTCTTTGCTCTCTGACTTTTAGAATATGATGATGAACACACTCACCCCAAACACTTTCTTCTGGAAGGGGATGATCCAGAGGACCAGGTTGGATTGATCAGGATTAAGTGGGCTTGTGTAAACTTAATTATCACCAAGCAGTGAGTCACATTACACTCTCTGCTTCTGACACTTACCTCCAGCAGATGAGTATCAAATCCTTTTATTTTGGGCCCAGGAACTGGTGGAAAGATGCAGGTCATCATGCTATAAAATAATTTGTGAGAGTGGATAAATGATGTATAGTTCATTGTAATATTTGAAAGAGATCCCGCCCCCAAATTCCTAAACAGGTGGTGCACAGGCTATAATTCTATGGCTGTATTAAAGTAGCAGTAAATGACAGAGGTAATTCTAGAGGCATACACTACACCTTTGCTGGCTAATTTTGAATGCTAATTTCAAGCTACTGGATTATTGGTTCCATTATTTTCTTTCAATGTTAGCTGCTTTTGCCAGATTTCCACAATTTTATAGCTCTATCTTATGGAAAGAGTGCTGGATTCAATAATCACATTTTAATACTCTTTTTAAAAAGCACTGATAAAATATTATTTTTTTGTATGAGAAAAAGTACTAGCATTAATTGATAAATAGTGTCCATCTTGTTTATATTTTTTGTCATTATTACCAATAACAATGACCAAGAGAAGAGCTGAAAGACAGTGTAGTACCTATAGCCCTTCAGAACTACTGCCCAGACCATAATCAAACAGATGACAGCAGAGAGAACGGCCACAATTATCCACACGGTTGTATTTTTCAAGGTGAAGTCTAAAAAACAAACAGCCATAGAGCTTTGATTACATATAATATCATTATTAAAAACCAAAAAGTCAACCAATATAACACATGAAACTCTTGAATTCATTATTTTTTTCTTTCTACTTGTATTTCTTGACTTGAAAAGCTTGAATCCCAGGCATCAGCCTGGGAATCCAGCATGGGACTGATCAAGACCCCCTGAATGTGAATGTCAGAGAGGAGGCCTAGGCAATCTATCGAGCCTTGGGCAGCAGATCAGTACCCATCCCGAGTATACACACAGACAATGTGAGATGCACTCTCACCCTGAACTCTTGGGGAAGAGTCTAGGCCCTGCCCTATATGAAATGACAGACTATGGACACCCCCATGGAGGGCCTCACCCTCCCTGGGGAAATGAGGGGATAATGGGGGGGGTTGGGGAGAGGGCAGGGGAGGAGGGGAGGGAAAGGGAGAGGGACCTGGAACTGACTTGTGAAGCAACCTTGTTTCTTATCTAAATTTAAACTGGAAAATAAATAAATAAAAAAGAAAAGCAATCCATCAGTAGTAGGTAGACATAACGATACAGAATGAATGACCAAAGAGTCCTTGGAGGACATTATAGACTTATACCTGTAACTTTATTCTAGAACTCTTACAAATGTCTTTTTGTTAGATTAAGAGATGATAATCACATCTCTACCAACTTTTCTAGATAAGGCTCAAAATAGTTTCTATATCAATAGCTATTACATACAACTTTATTGTTAATAATATTTATAAATGTAGGGAAAAATTAGGTCAAAACACTCACCATTGGGTATTTCAATGGAATTCTCTTGACCCCATCTACTCCAGTATCCATGGTCTGGCTTGCAGCGAGTCTGGACAAAGTACTTTTGTCCTGGATATAAGTCAAAAACTTTAAAGTGTGTTTGCTGTCCTGTAAAATGGGTCTAAAGAAAAACAAGAAATACACAAGTCACCTCCAACTGTTGTTATGTAGAAAGAGACTTTTTCTTTATACCATAAGTTATTGGGGAGTTAGGCAGACATAGCTGTGTTTAGAGGATGCCCTGCTTTTATTATTCTATCCTTTCCTTCTTCCTCTTAAAATTTTATCACAAAAATTCAAAAAGGTTTTCCATGTCTTCATTTGGAACTCTATTTCAGAAAGACAATTTCCACCAATTCTCCACTTTACTTAGTGAAAAACAGAATTCTTGCTGACAAATTAATATATACATATTAGATAATAAAATTATTAGTTTATGAATTCCAATGAAGTAATTGATTTAAGGAATTATTAGTTGGTGTAAAAGCTATTAGGTGGAAGAAATTCAAGTTTTTATGTATGTTGAAGGGATTGTATGCAAATAAGATGTTACTTAGCAATGGAAATATTAGGTTTCTACATCCCTAATCTAGGACTCAGATTTAGTATCATTTATACTAGTGCAACCAGATGGCTCATGCCTCCTGATGATGATGATGATGAATATAGTATGAAGTTCATACTGATTACTTATAGTAATTAGTTGAGTTACATGTCATTCAACCTGAATCTAATCAAGTCCTTAAATCTAAAGTCTGGTTGCAGATAGTACAGGGGCAGAGATATTAGTGAAGATTATGGGACATCCTGATGAACAAATGGCCTCCTATTTTCATTATATTAAAACTGTATTGGATTAGACTTCGGTTTGGACAAGCCAGCTATTAAAGATATTTTTGAAGCAGGGAGGATTACAATATAAACTAACTGCTATATTTTACTTAAGAATTTTAATTACATTTTTAAAAATTTGTGATCCTTTTACTTTGACTATGTTTACAAATGTTCTTTTCAACAGAGACATATATTAAGATATTTAAGGGAGGAATACCATAATGCTTATAATTGTGTCATTATCATTTTACACTGAAATATTACAAAGTATTTCTTTTAAAAACATGGACCATGGACATATTAAACTGACTCTTTTTCCTCCAGCCTCAGTATAGTTTATGTTCTTCCAGAGGTCTGAGAAGGTAAATTGGGAACCTAAGGGGGAACATGTCCAGTATAAGGAGCTGTCTTTGTGGGAACTGTGACTATGAACACCCTTCAATCTCAGTAGAAGGGAAAAGGCATTTCCTTGGCCAGGAGGACTATGTCTGCAAGGGGATGTCCACATGGTGGACAACTAATTGGGGGAAATGATCTACTCTGTTGTAAGAGGTTTATCCTTGCCAAAGGATATGGTTCCTCCAATAAAATTCTTTTTGACTCACCTCCCACTCATCTGCTTCTTCAGACTTTAATCGAATTTCATATTCCATTGTAAACCAACCAGTTTTTACATCAGTTATGGTGGGTGGGGACCATTTTATCCACAGATATGTCTTTTTGTCTTTTAGCTGTTTCACTTCTAGAGTCAGGTTCCGAGGAGGCTCTGGCTCAACTGCAGAAACAGAAGACATATTTAGTTTCCCTGACGGCTTGAACCTTCCTTTTGGCCCCACTGTTTCCTATCATGGCTTGCATTTTCTATCAGCCCACTTTCCCCACTGCATTGTAAGTTTCTAGAGGACATGGTAAATACCTTCTTACTCTTAACAGGTGATCAGTCATGCTTGCAATCGAAGATGGGCCTTCAATAGTGACAAAAATAAGCAACTGATATGTTAGCTGTATTCTTCACTTTCTACCAGCTAGGTTCATATACGTGTTCACGTTTTGCCCCTAATGGCAATAGCCATGTGATAATAACTGGGGTGGGAGTTTCAAGTTGAAGTTGGAACAGGAGATTATTGGGAAAGGAATTTGAAATAGTTTATTTCCCTTAGTTGGGAGCAACCACCTCCTTGAAAGTCTGCACATCTTCTTGTGTGTCACCCATTCATATTTACAACTTTGCAGGTAACACATTTACAGACTTTTGCCTTCAGTTCATCAACTGTATTCTCCACTCAAAATATACATCACTCCCTGTGGAGAACAGAATTCACCCTGCCAGATAGCAAATGGCAACACGTGCCCAGCACTTGAATTTTTTGACAGTGTTCCTTTGAGTAACCCTCAAACAGCTTGTTTCATTCATTCATTCGTTCATTCACCAAATGTTTACTGAATTCCCACTAGCAAAATCTTAACATTTCTTGAATGCATACCACATGCCATGAATTAAGTAATACTCTAACAACAAATCATCATTTAACCCACTCCCCAAGTGTCACGAACCTGTATTACTGTGCCTCTTTGGTAGAAGAGAAACCAAGAGAGGACAATTACTGGTTTACTGTCACATATTCAGTAAAGTGTGTAATTTGGAACCCAGAGGCAGCTTTTATTTTGAAACAATTCTAAGTAGCATTTCTCCCTTAAACTGCGGCTAGAATTAGCTAAAGTGTATGTTACATTCTGAATGAACAAATGCCATGAATTACACAGCTTACTATGATTTTAAAATGATTTTTGTTGTATGCATTTTACTACAATTAAAAATCAATCAAAGGAGGCACTTATCCTCAGATCCCTCCAACTACAGGCCATGGGATTACTTCCCTAAGATGTAGAAATACCTAGTGGTTGTGTTGCTCAGCTGTAGATACACCATCTGCATCAACTCCCTGTCTCCAGGGCTCTTGAAATATCATGGAAAAGGAGCCAGAAAGAATGTAATAGCTGGAAGGTGGGGAAGAGTGCTGTGAAATATTGTCTTTTGGATAAGACGTGGCTGCAGTACACACGAGTTCACAGCTGTTAAACTGGATGAGTTCAAATCAGCTAAAACCTCTAGTGTTGAGGAGGAGGAGGAGGGGCTCCTGAGGCCCCATCTTTAGGTGAAGAGCAACTGGCAGTTGGTGGAGGCTAGTGGAGGGAAAAGTCACTTTTCTTTGGGGCGTGGCTATTACTGGCTGCCCATGCCTCACTGGATGACCCCATATGGCCAGCACCAAATGGACTCGGTGTGTCATTAAAAACAAAACAGTAAAACAAACAAAACGAGGACATGAAGTTGGGAGGGAGATGTGTGACTGCTGCAGGGGCTCGGCCTGCTTTCTGTTGTTCAATGGTATTAGCTAAATTTGGAAGACTTGTGTAATTTCAACCTTATTAGCTACTTAATAAATTATTATCTAAGATAAATAATAAACTTCATTCTCCTTATCCTATCTATTCTCCTAGGACTCTATTTATCGTCTGTGCTAAACCACAAAGGCCATTGCAGCTGTGTCCAACGCCCTACTACATAATGCTGAGCATGCATAGCAAGGAACTCTCTCAGATCTACTGCTCTATTTTATGAGTGCCTTCTCCAAACAATATAGAAGTGACAGTAACCTTCAGCCAGTTACTACTTACTTCCTATTGTTATTATTGTTTTTATTATATTTTGGGAATACTTGAACCTCGTGTTAGTATTCAGGCATCTGTACTGGTCTGCCTTAGGGGTTCTGACAAAATATGCCTTCAGCTGCAGCCACTAAGAACACCTTCCGTGTACATTCACTATGTTCCCACCTCCCATCTCTCTCTCTCTCTCTCCTTTTGTGTGTCTGTTCCTCTGCTTCTCCACCTGTTTCTCTGTCTCTCCCACCTCTCTCTTCTCTTCAGCTGCCCCTGTCTCCAGAGGCCTCCTGCTCCTTCTCCTTCCCCCCTTTTCCCATTCTTTTTCTCCTAATAAAAAATCCTCCACATGAGCTCTGTTGCAGAGCATCTTTCTCTCTTGTGCTACTTTTTAAATTACAATGCCTAGGGCCTTTTTATTTAAACTAGGCAGCATGCTACCATTAAACAATTCCCATCACCCCCACCAGTCTTTGTCTAATAATATCTCAAATTATGATGAAGTAGATATAATATTGTGGAGAGCTGAATTCCGTCCAAGTATTTGGAATGATTCCTTTGGAATAAGAACAGGAAGATCCTTTTAAAGACCTTTGTTTCTGAAGAGTATCCCTGTCTTCCACAAGGAGAAAGAAAAGACATTTGGAGTTGTTGGTATAGCTCAGTGGGATCGCCCTCATGTCCATCTCTGGGTTTCACCTCCAGCACACCCCCACCAAAAACAAAAGGAATCTGATCTGGCTGGTAATGAAGGCAACATGGTTGCAGGGAGAAGGCAGATGGAACTACTAATAGTGGAGGCATACCAAACACTCACACTGGATATAAGACACTAGGATTAGAGTTGAAGGAAAATATGAGAACAGGAAGATCCCAAGTATTAATCTTGCTGCCAAGAGTCAACACTGTTGATGAGAAATACTCCTCCAACAAAGATACTGTGAGCTCTCTCACCTTTCTTATCTGGGATCCATCCATAAGCCAGGAAGACCCAAACTGATTTTGACCTTCGATAACTACCTAATATAACATAACAGTAACAAATTCCCCACTCACTTCCCTTTCCCTTACCTATGTAAGTCACATCCACATAAAGTGGATCGGATGCACTGCTTCCCATCTGATTAGTGGCATTTACTGTGATGACGTATATTTTCCATATGGAAGTGTACTGCTTGCTGAAGAAACAGGAGTTGGGGCCACTGGTTTTGTAGTCTGGACATTCATGAGTGGTTTTCTCTCTGCAACAAGTAATGCATTAAGAGTGAGTAAGAAAGCAAGAGTCACATTCTTATCCTTAATAGGTTAATATTACTGGATTTGGAGGATAAGGAGCTCCAAGTACAAGAATGAAAGCAGAAAAATGGGTCCCTGTGGCTCTGTGCTCTACCCACTCCAACTGGGAGCCTGGGAAAGAATTGTGCTAGAAGAAGGGGTGGAAAGACTAGCTTAGCATCTCCATCCTCTGCTGCACACGAAACCTTCTTTCCTGCAGGTGTTTCTGTGAACCTTGTGGTTTGTCTTCCAGAGTTACCAATGGCCAATGGCACCCCCACTGGGTCACCTTAGGCAGTTGGGATCTTTGTTACATTATGGGAACAAGCATATTTAAATCAAAGGGTTTAGGAGGAGGCACACTGATGATGTCAGTATAATTTAGATGGTTGACAGGTGAACAACAGAGTGAAGTATCCTTGAAAGGAGGCATTTCAGCCCCACGTGGCTCATTAAGTTGCTCATATTTTAACAGTCTCAACTCCATTCACACCACACAGTTGGTGGAGGCGGTTTCAATTCTGCATTCTTTAAATATTTGTGCCATGTCTCTTTGGATCCCATATGGAAGATCAGCTCTGTGTACAAGCAGTACTTGGAAAGTGGCACGGCTGTCTCTGTCAAATACTTACTTCATTTTTAAGTCCAAGATACAGAAGTGTACTTTTTGCTAAACTAACCTTTCTATATTTCATTTAAAAATTCTAGGAGAGTGTCATTATGATTTTATAAAAATTGTCATCTAGAAATAATCTTGTTTTGCCCTCATGGCAGTGTTACATTTAACTGTGCTTCAGGAGATGTTGAATTTTATTCCTTTGCTGTGTTTGAAATAGGGGTTCTTCATGCAGCTCAGGCTGGCTTTGAACTTGTGATCTTCCTGCCTGTCTCCAGAATGCTGGGATTACAAGTGTGTTCTAGAACAGCAATTTGTTTTTTAAAAAAGTCCTCAAGTTCTTTTCCTTGGGCATGAGACACATTTGAAAACCTAATGTACTGTGACTGTCAAGGATCACACAGCTTATATAATTCTGTTATGTTGTAACAGTAGTGTATTAACTAAAAAAACAAAAACTACAAATGTCATGTGGTTTATGGGTGAGCAGCTAAGAATAGCCAACTCATAGGCTGTTATCTAAGTTTGTTAAAGACATTTAGAAACTTGGTAATATTATAATGCCACTGGGTCAATGTGCATTTGAAGACTCGTTTTGTAAAACCCTTTTATAGAACATGATGGGCTAGAGAGACATTAAAATCCTTTCCTGATGGTATGAGCCTTATTGACTTAAATCCAGGAAAGCACAGTATGTATAATAACTAATGTAACTTGGGCGTGAAGAGTGTGAGCACTCTGGTGGGGTTTGCTAGGGCAGAAGAGAGAGTTTTACCCTTCTTTGCTGTAAGTCAGTGAGTAATTGGTAGGAAGTCCCCCATCTGTCCCAGGGTTCCACCAGCAGGTGAACGTTTCCTTGTCAGGAGAGCGACATTTGTGGATCTCAGGCTTTCCAGGTGGTGACTGTCCTAAAACAAAAATAGCCATGAGGTATTAGAGTGAGTATTGAGGTCCCTTCAACTGCTTCACTGAGCTGCTAGTAACAGAGGCAGATTATTGGCACCCTGGCCAGTGAGAAGGCCTTGGTTCAGAAAGTTCACTGCATCAGCATCCAACTACACTCTGCTCTGCTCATCTAGGGCTAGCAGGGCACTTAGATGATGCTGGGTGGTGGTGTATGCTTGCATTTCGAGATGGAGAGGACCATTGCCAAAATTTTTAATGAAGAGTTTGGCTGAGGGGAGAGAGCTGGATGCACAAGGAGCCCTTCTTCCCACATAGCTAGGAAGCATTGGGGTTACCACCAAAAGCATTCCCCACTGACAAGTGACCTGTGTGTACACAGTCAGTGCATGCTCAGTGGCATGTCCCATCTCTGCTCAGGAAGTTGTACTTTTCTGGCATTCCCACAGAACTAACTTTGGGTTACTTCCTCCCTCCATTGTCTTCTCCTTTTTTGCTTTGTCCTTTACCTTGATTCTGTACAGCCTTGGCCTAGTGATGTAGTTTTTTTTTTTCAAGACAGGGTTTCTCTGTATTGTTTTGGAGGCTGTCCTGGAACTCACTCAGTAGACCAGGCTGGCCTTGAACTCACATAGATCTGCCTGCCTCTGCCTCCTGAGTGCTGGGATTAAAGGAGTGCGCCACCAATGCCCGGCATGATGTAGTTTTCAAAAGATGTATTTTTATTAATTATTTGAAACTTCTGTATATGCATACATTTTAAATATACTCATTCCCCCTTCTCTCCCTAACTCTTCCTAGATCTACCTCTAGCCCTTATCCCTATAAATTCTCTCTTTCTATAACACACACACACACACACACACACACACTCCACACACATGTACACACACGGTGTGTATGCACACAAAAGAGAGAGAGACAGACAGACAGAGACAGACACAGAGAGTCAGATCTGTACTTTTTATAAACTTACGAGTGTAAGGCTACCCAATGCAGTCTTGCTGAAACACCAGAGCCTGTACACCTAAGGAAAATTGATCCTTAGGATCCCAGAGGCTGTAAATGGTGCTTCAGTTGGGGATGGGGACACAGGAGCCCTTCCCTTCTCCACGATGAACTGTTGATTGGCTTGATCTTGTGCCATCTGCACCCAACCTCAGCTACTGTGAAGTTATGACTATAGTGATCCTGCCATGTCCAGAAGCCACTTTTTCACTCTAGTCTTCCTCATCTTATGCCTTTCACAGTCTTTTCATCTCCTCTCCCAAAATGGCACCTGAGTCACATGTGTGTGCCTGGGTGCATGTGGTGTGTGTGTGTGTGTGTGTGTGTGTGTGTGTGTTTGTAATGTTCTGCTTGTGGCTGAGCACTCTACAGGCTAATGGTTCAGTTTCACTATCTCCTGATTCTTCCTCTTGCTATTTTTAGAATCTTGTTTTTAGTTTCCTTTTGTGTTTACACCCATCCCCTCTTTCTTTGGTTCACTCCCCTTGGTTCTTTTTATGAGTAGGTGACCCAAAACTTCCTTGTAATTCTGTGGATCTTTATGAAGCAGTCAGTATGGTAAGAGGTAGGATAGGGGGTAGTTCCACTCTGAGTGACGAGTTACCATGGTTAGATAAGAGATACTCCCACTGTCAGAGCAAGAAGTGAGAAGGTCTGCAGGAGGTGATGTGGCCAAGGGGATGAGATTTTTTTTCTCACTAGCTTAATCTCCAAAGCTTTTGGCAAGCTGATCTCCAATTCTCTTGCTTGGCTGTTATATTGAAAGAGGGACAGAGTAACCTTGGGATTTCGCCATGATGTTGTTGGTTTGGAAGGTCAACCATAACTGAGAGTATATCTCATTTTCTTATTTTTTTTTCCCTGATTGAGGGGCCAATGCTAAATTCATGAGTAGAAATATTTTTTTTCTTTCAGAGGTAGGCGTTAGCATCTCAGTGGTCTTTTATATCTTTCCCAACATTTATTCAATTTTTCATGCAGGCTCTCAGGATGGAATTTTACTCCAGAAGAACAGATCATGAAGATCATGGCAAAGGGATCTGAGAAAAGAGGTCTATATATATACAATCTATACAGAAATAAGAATTTATTGAATGATCTAGTATAATGCACAAGATGGGGCTATATGAAGAAGACTGGCCAGTCAGTGGTAACAGTATCACAGTATCTCACAGAATTGCTGAAAAGAATCTGTGTGAACCTTGTGTGTATCTATCAATGTCTGGAGGATTGCTTAGTGATGTTCAGGGTCATTGCAAAAATACAAGGTTTCTTTTTCTTGTTTGTTTCTGTAATGGGTGAGGAGAAACATGTGATGTATAGAGAAATATTCATTAAAAACCCTCCAAACTATCAGGGCATGGTGGTGCACATCTTTAATCCAGTATTTGGAATCAGAAGTATGTGGATCTCTATGAGGCCAGCCTACTCTGCATAGCGAGTTCTAGGATAGCCAGGGCTACACAGAGAAATCGTGTCTTGAAAATCCAAATCAACCAAACCAAAAAACAAAACAAAACAAAACCAAAACCAAAAAACAAATAACCAAACCACTACCACCACCAACCTTCAAACTCTATGGCTTAGTAATGAGTCTACTTGAAACTGATCGGGGCTACTGTTGATTATTTGAGTACTTAAGAGTTTCTTTCATGGGTTATCATGATTTTTCTCTCTCCTTTCTTTCTCCCTCTCTCTCTGGCTATTAAAATAGCACTTTTAGGAAACTCAAGGGAAAAAGGTAAGGCTGTGGAATTACAATCAGCCAAATGTTATTTTCATGCCCTTTGAAGAAACAAACTTTATGGACTATCTCAGTGAACAGAAACAAGGGATATTATACAAGTCCACATCAGAAGTAAGCACACACATAATGCATTCCACCCACATAAAACATATTTGGAAAGAAATACACGCAAAGGCATAATGATGGCAATATACACTGGTACACATACACACAACAACACACACATATAAATACACATAGGTTCCTCATTGGTATCCATACACACAAATACATATACAGACACAGATGCATTTACAATCAGGCACTATCAGCAGTTAGTGTGTACGTGGATACACTTGGAAGTACACACCTCCAGAAGCACATAGAAGTAGATGTGGGAAACCTATGTTGACAATCACACTTTAATTTAGCTGTGCTTTTTTTTCTCTTATTAGCACACATGCTGAAAGTGGTTACACCTGTTTTCCAACTTGTAAGGGCAAGCACTTACATTATTTTATAGTCTTTCAAAGGTATTTTCACATACATTATTTTATCTGAAGCTTGTGAGATATCCCTGTCCTCCCTTGGAGAAATTGAAAACAGAGAGACAGACAAATGGTTCAAATCACACAACTAGTAACTATACCCTGGATGGAAACTCAGGTCCTGTCATCCCCAGCGCTCTTTCAATCCACTCTTAAAATGGGGATGGAGTAGAAGGAACACAGTGGTAAGATTCTGCATTAATTTTAATGCAGATATGTGGCAAATAATTTAGTAGCAGCAAATAACATGAACATTTTCATTTCTCATAACTGCATTGCAACAGACCGAGACAGTCTCTCCACACCCCCAATAGACACTCCAGGCAAGAAGAGTAAGAAGAGAGTCTCTTACCATTAAGAAGGCTGATGTTGAGAAAAAGGAAGATGAAAGCAAGGGCAGATGGCATGTTTTCCTTCATGTTGGCCCCTGTTTCTTGCTACAGGCAATGTATCAGAGGCTCCCTGGAAGAGAAAACACCAGGTACCATTTGTTAAATTTCAGCCGGTCAGGCACATGCACCACTTTATTCTGGGTGCTTGCAACTGATTCTTGTTCCTTGCTTAATGTGACCGACAAAAACAGCGGGAAGAGAATGTACGAAAATGTAACATGGGATAGCTTGGTTAAGAAGCACTGATTCACACATGCTGGCAAAGATTTCACCACAAGAGGTCGTCAGACAACAATGTAGAGAGTTCAAAGGACGGCAAGGCTGTTGGCGTTTTATTTGTTTTGGTTTTGTTTTCTGCGTTCACCGAAGTTGCTCTATTTCCACTTCAGTGTTTAGCTGTCTAAGAGCACAGCACCCATTTATGTAACATAGGTTGTGTGCTCTGCAGGAGAACCATTCAAGGAGAGCTCTGTCTCCAGTATTCTGAGCCAGTTCAACTTATCGATACTGCCAGGCTGAGGGTGGGAGAGTCGGGTGGAGGTTCCTGTATAAGTTCAGGCAGAGAAGGTTCTGGAAGTCTCCAGGGATATGAAAATGGCTATGAAGCAAACCTCATAATAAATTTTAGTGACCCTCCGTGTGGCTTCTTTCTCCTTTCTGTAAAGCCCCATAACAAGAGACAATGAACTCCAGCAATAATTCAAATCTCTTGGGTTCAGAATAATAAGTCAATTTTGAACCTGCAGGGCTTGAGTGTTTTGAGCAATTTATTATTAATATTATTATTTTTTACTCTTGGAAGAGTTTTCAAAGTCTCTCATGTTTCTTCTTTAAAAAATTCATAAACTTTTTTTTTAAGTTTCATTAGTCTTACTAGACTTCAAACATGGCCCAGAAAACAATAGTTTTGATGAACTATGTTCAAATTTCCAGAAACACATGGTTTTAATTTCCCTTTAAATTTTATTTTTAAATCAAGGGAAGAATATCTAGGAGGCAAAGTTGCCCATCTTAGGCCATGTGAAGAGTTGCTTGATGAGACCCTAAAGCACCAAAATTTGTTCATTCCTCTATCTGTCAAACACATATTACTCAATGGAAAACTTTTTGGAGGTGTGTTACACCCGCCACTACTGCTTGTGGAATCACTCAGAAATAGACATTTTGATGACACTGGAAGCTTGGGGTGTGTCAGTACCAAAAAAACAGTGTCCTTATGTTGAAGATTCTGGTTCAGAACTTTGCTGACCCACTAATGGGCCCAGCAAAGTGCTGGAGACCTACTTGCTTCATCTGGATTCTTTATTCCCTCTGGGTAGCATGTTCTCAATTTAACTTGCTTCTTTTAACCTTTCAGGGAGTCATTTTCTTTAAACCATGTCGTCAGAGGCTTCTCATGGGTTTTCAATGATGCTCTTATAGTCCAGGCACTGGGCTGAGTCATCACTTGAATTTCATTTTGTCCTTTCTGTGGTCCCAAAAGTAGATGCTGGTTATCACCACCCACCCAGGTATGGGCACTGAATGTAGAGAAATAGTTTAGTAGGATGTCAATCACCTGCTAACAGGAGAGAGCAATCTGGCAAGTTGCAGAGCATCTGAGAAATCGTGATTTGTGGAGTATCTGGGGGCTATTTTTCTATAGGGGAAGAAGACACATGGGACAAGTACAATGGAGCAGTGGAGAGATGTATGCCAAGATCTGGGTGAACGGATCAGGAGAGCTAGGGCAGGCATTGGTTATCTCAGCTGCTGCTCTACTTGTGCTTAAGGGTCTCTAATATTGTTGATCTGTCTAAACTTGTTGTGCATCTTCATCCTGGCCTAGAAGTGGGATTCTGCTCTCTGGCTGAAGATGCCCCAAATGATATGACAGACTTTGATGATCCCCCATGGAAGGCCTCACCCTCCCTGGTGAGTGGATGGGGGGTGAGATGGGGGTGTCGGTGGGGGAAATGGGAGGATGGGAGGGAGAGGGAACTGGGATTGATATGTAAAATAAGATTTTTCTAAAAATAAGATGCTCTATAATATCCCTTCATCGAGACTGCCTTACTCCTGTGGGAATCACATAAACAATACCTGAGATCACCATGCTAATAAATCACCCCTTGTGGGTGAGGTCAGAAAGCTCTGCCAGACAGGGCTCTACTTGTTTTGCTAATGAAATACTAGGATAGGAATCAAGGTAATCAGAGGCAGGAGTGGATTTAGTTATTTGCTTATATTTCCTCTTTTGCTGATGCAAGATCTAAGAAAGTTGTAATTTAAGTTTCTCCTTTAAAAAATACTATCAGGGACCACTCTACACACTTATAAAATAGTTTTCTCCTAAGATTTCCTGAGACATATGCTGGAATCTGGTCACACCCATGCACTTTCTAATGCCCCAAGCCGCCTGTGCCAAAGAATTCGACATGTTCCTAATGTGTTTCAACAATGATTTCCCAACTCATTCCTCATCTTATACTCTCTGGCAAGGTAACCATGGTGTGTCAAGCAAACTTCCAGAGGTAAGCAGAATGGTAACTGTTTATCCTCCGTGGGGCTATGCTAAATGTTAGCCTTGGTCAATAGTATGCAGTACTTTTTGTCTTACCATGAAGCACACCTCCTGCTGATCCACAGACCAGTTTTTGTGGTAAGCACCCACTAGCCTAGGGATAGATTTGCTTTTTATCTCTCTGAATCAATTCTCCACTGCAAGCAGATCCTGATCAAAAGCAGGCATAGACATCCTTGTCGACCACATCAGTTGGGGCTGAGATGAGGGTCCACAATTTTGCATGATGTTATAGTGCAAATATTTCAAGTTTTGGATTCAAATATTTGGAATCCAGTTATCAAAGAGCGAGCCTTGCATTCTCAGCCTAGTTGTCTTAGGATCCACACATCACCAACTCTCTAAGTATGACTATGGTTTAAAAGTGAAAAGTCTCTTATCTATGAGCAGTTTTTGGTGGTTTCCTAACTTTCATCTGCTTTGTCCTTGGCTATTTTACTTCTGAATCCTCAGTTTCTTCCATCCTCATGCCCCTTCTCATGACCTTATTCAGACTCCTACCATGCTCCATCCTTCTGTGGCACACATGCCAAGAGAACTCCTTAACCCCCTTTCTCCCTAGGACTGCTTTCTGCATCAATGATGGTCCTATTTCGGCCTACTCTTTCCCAAAACCCCTCTTTATTACTGTCTCACATTAAGCCAACCCTCTTCCACAGAGGCTAATAGTGAGGTTGCAATCTATGGTCTGGCAGCTCATTTGTTTGAGAAACTAGAATGATTCCTCCCTACAAGAAAAACCAGTCAGGGACCCATGGCCTTGGTTAGTGCCCCCAACAACATCATGGAAGGCATACCCACAGGAGAGGAGGCAGTGTGACCATTAAGTGTTAGGTAGGACATATCTGAACCCTCGCCAGATGACTGCCTGATGTTAGCTTCTCATTTCTTCTGCTTACACTCTTTCTGCATGCGTTGGTCCACCTACTTCTTGACATATTCAATTACAAAAGACTGAATGAAGCCTCAGTTCTCCTATGGTGTGGGATTTGCCTCTACCCTCGGGCACTAGGAGATTCCTACGGTTTCTGCTCCACCCTGCTTTTCTGTCACAGTGGTGTCCATTTCCTTAACCAGAGAAATGGACCCATCAAGCTGGGTAGAGACTATGAGGATCTACTTCAATCTTACAAGCCCAATCCTTGATGGAGAAGCTGTTTCAAGGCTTACTAAACTAATTTCAAATACATTAATCTATGAAGGTATTATGCAATATTAGGCCTTTCCTTTGAACTCCTCTGTTCTCTGGATCACCTCACCTGCCCTAGGTACTAAATGGTCAGAGGCTGAAATAACTGGGAAAGAATCCCATGTATGCCCTTTGATTCTCAGTCTGAATTTTCTTTCCAAAACAGCATTTAATTTGGAAAACAAAAGGCATAATCTGCTCATGGTGGGGAGAAGAACAGAAGGGATTAGCTGCTTCACACCATGCTGAAGATTAAGATTGCTGTATGCTGGATTTTGGAGCAATAGCTCCTGCTAGGAATAAGTACTCTGCATTTGTTTTATTAAAATGAATTCAGTGCAAAGACACACACACATCACAGTGTGGTAATTTCTCTGCAATTAGATTTCCCAGGCAATCTGTCTCCCTATGTAGTGCCTACCTGAGTCAGCTCCCATTTTAACAACTCTTTGGTGGTTTAGCTAAATCATCATAGTTGTGTGAAAGCTACTAGAAATAGCCATGAAGACATTTTAAAGCATCTACTTCTGACTCTCTATACTCCTCTCTCTTCCTGTTTCAAAAACCTGAGAGGTGCCTGAGAGGGCACTGAACTGTGTGCATGCATATGCTATGCAAGCAGAAAGCTGCATTCTGTAAGAAATCACTTAGCAGAGAGAGCATGGTTCAAATGGGAGATGGTTCAGGCTGGTACTACAAAAGGGAAAGATTATGGAAAGATCTACCTTCAAAGCTAGCTGTGGCAAGTTACAGTCCAGGGCTGTATTCACTTCTGTTCTGGAGTCATTTTAAGACACCAGATGCCTACCCACAACTGGAGGCATTGCTTCCAACTCCAATTACACCAACTCTCCTCACTCACTCACTCACCATAGCCCCAGCAACATCTTTGCTCTGACAGAAGTTTGTTCTCATTCAGCTTTTTTTTTTTTGGCTTAAGGGAAAGAAGAGGAACTGGGTGAGTATTTATCCTCCTGGCCAGGGCACAGTTTGGACAGATGTTGGAAAATCCATGTTGGCCTGATTTTCAGAGGAATCCTTCTCTCACGGGATCATCCATCAATAAATAACTGCAAAAGCACCATGTATTGGAAGTGATGTTTTGCAGCTAGCTTACTAAGCTACTCCACAGGCCCCAATGGATTTCAACTCAATATTCATACTACCAGCCTGGGAGAGGTCCCATTCTTACACTGTGTCCCTAGAAATTCTGAAGATGGTTGGACACTCCCTAGCCACAGCTTCTGCATCTGTAGCTTCACCAAACTGGAGACTGGAAGCATTTGGAAAACAGTTTTGCATTGTTACTGAATATGCC